ACACCACACCTCCTAGATCAAAAAATATCTATATATATATAGAAATAATTTATGTAATTAACAAAAAGAGAGCTAGAGAGAGAGGGGGGGGGGGGGAGAGAGAGAGAGAGAGAGAGAGAGAGAGAGAGAGACAGACAGACAGACAGACAGACAGACAGACAGACAGACAGACAGACAGACAGACAGACAGACAGACAGAGAACACACACACACACGCACACACACACACACAGAACACACACACACACGTGCACAACAGCGCACACCTCAAGCAAGGCGGTGCTTCCGTGCCAGCGGCCACCTTCACGACCCATCAGCCAGAATCATCTGCAGAGCGCAAACACACACGTACACAACCAGGTGCGAGCAAGAGCACAAAGTCAGGGAAGGAGAATCAGACAGACGACACAGCTACATCATGGCCTCACACACAACACAACACAACACAACACAACACAACACACACCTCGATGTGGACATCACAGCACTACAGCATGCTTCGGCCTGCCGCTCTGCGTGCATGCGCATGCCCTTCCGCAACAGTCAGTAGGACAGTCAGTCATGCCATTGCTGGCCGGCCAGTCAGTGGGTGTGTGTGCGTGAATGCGTCCACTGCCACAACTGTTCCGCTTTTCAACCTCCACTTGTTTTGATATGCATATTTTCTCTCTTCGTAACACAACAGCAAGAGTTGAGAAGCTCGCAGCTGCGATCAGGTGGCCGAGTTGGTCTAAGGCGTGCGGTTAAGGCCCGCATCTCTTCGGAGGCGCGAGTTCGAATCTCGTCCTGATCAAATCTCTTCTTTTTTTTTTTTCAATTTCTCCTCCCGCTTTGGCCCTCTCTTCCTCTCGCCCACTTGCCACGCTGATTCCTGGCTTGCTTGCTTGCTCTTTTGTCGCCCCCCCCCCCTTTGTTGTTTCATTCTCATGTCAACCACAGTCATTGTACAGCGTCAACCATGCGTTCACTTTGTGATTGATGTTTTCTTTTTTACTCCCTCAAACAAAGACACACATCTCCTCGCAACACCTCCAGTCCTTCCATCTCCACCTTCAGCCCTTCCATCCTTCCACCTCCCTCTCCTTTTCTCCTCCCTCTCCTTTTCTCCTCCCACCACCTCCCCCCCCCCCACACACACACACATACACACACACTAGAAGAGCGGTGCGTCGTCTGCCCCATCGCTCGCATCGCCAAACTCAGACGACGCAGCAAACGGATCAAACTCCCCGCCCCCAGTGCCGTCACTGCTGCTGCTTGACATAAACGGGTCCCATGTCCCTGCCCCTGGCGGTGGTCGCCTTGCTGCTGTTGCTGCTGCTGGTGGTGCTGTTGGTGCTGTTGTAAGGCGGGCTGGCTCGGCGTGTCGTCAAAGGCAAACGAGAAATCGGCACCCATGTCGTTGTGATGGCCAAACGAGGCGACGGAGAACGGCTGAGACGGTGTTGGAGCTGTATTCAGCAGGGCCGGGGTGCTTGGGCTCCAGACCATGGCGTCATGTTGCTGCTGCTGCTGTTGTTGTTGTTGTTGTTGTTGTTGTTGTTGTTGTTGTTGTTGTTGTTGTTGTTGTTGTTGTTGTTGTTGTTGTTGTTGTTGTTGTTGTTGTTGTTGTTGTTGTTGTTGTTGTTGTTGTTGTTGTTGTTGCTGTTGTTGTTGCTGTTGCTGCTGTTGTTGTTGTTGTTGTTGTTGTTTCTGCTGCTGCTGCTGTTGCTCTCGCCTTTGCAAAACAGTCGGTGGAACAGGACGAGGAGGCTGGGGTGTTTCGGTGCTGTTGGGTGAGGTGTGACGACTGCTGACAGCGGTGCCGTGCTGGTCGTTCGCGCCTGCGGCCTGCCTCTTCTTCCCTGTGTCGCTCTCCTGTTCCTCTTTCTCCTCAGCCAAGGTGGAAGACGCCTCCTCAGCTGCACCGTCCGCACTGCTTGTGCTCTCCACTTGCTCAGGCGTGCTGCTCGGCATTGACGACACATTCTCCCCTGTCTCCATCTGCAAAGGAAGGGTCGACGACCCAGGCGAGGCCACCGTTGCCTGCACACGTTAACATATATATGTGTGTGAATGCGTGTGCGTGTTTGTGTGAGAGCGTGTTTGTGTGAGCGCAGCACGTATCAAAACGTGTCAGCCAGGGATCACCTGCTGAGGCAGACAGCGCAACGCTTGGCACGTACACAAAACAGAGCGCTCGTATCCCTCCACAGCTTACACACACCTTCGTGTCGGCGGCAGCTTCAGCTTTGCCAACGCCTTCGTTCCTGCCGATCGCCTCGGCCTCTGCACACAGCAACGCAGCAAGCAGCAGTGTACCGCTGCATCGTGAGCTCTCTGCAAGCAACTCGACAAAGCAACACCAGTGGACAAGATGACAACACAACAAAGCGACAACAGTGGGTAACACGATAATCACCACACCACCACCACCACATCCCCAACACACATCCCCCCCCCCCACGTCAATACACCACCACACCACAACAACAACACAACAACAACACAACAAACCTCGCAGCAAGGCGGAAAGGGAGCCAAAGAGGCCCGGAATCGAGTCCTTGGGAACAGGCTCGTCCGCGCCTTTTGTGTTTTCCTTCACAGTGGCATCAACGCCTCCCCTTGCAGGTCATCACAGAACGCCAGCAATGAGCGCGAAGCAGAGCACACCAGCAGCAACGATAGCAACATTCGCAACACAAGCAGCACAAGCAGCACAAGCCCTTGTCAAAGCGCGCCAACTCACAACGACTCGATGAACCCTTTCAGCGTCGTCACAATGTCCCCACGCTGCCTCAATACCTGAGCTTGAAGCTCTTGCTTCTGTTGACACAGGCTGTTCACAGCAGACACGACAAAGGGGAGCTCGAGTACAGGGAATGCAAGGATGGCTTGAATGTGCTCTATATTTGTTGCTGGGGATGTAGTCAAGGCCCAATACACACCCAGCCCACCCACACACATAGTACACAACATACACACACACCTGCCGTGGTGAGCTTGGAGCATGGAGAGTTGGGTGTGGTGTTGCTGCTCGTATGTCTGCAAGCGACCAGCGGCAGCTAGCAGCTGCGAGTGCTGCGCCTCCAGCAGTTCCAGCTCTTTCTCCATGTCCCCGCATATCTCTGTCAGGTCTGCCACGTCGGCCTCGACCTCCGCACGCCGTTGCTCTGCAACCCAACGTGCGCAACAACAACAACAACAGCAGCAGCAGCAGCAACAAAAGCAAACAGGCAAGCGGAACATCAGACGAGCGCCTGGGCGAGTACTCGCGAGACTGCACGCAGGGGACACGTTCATGTGCGCGAAGCAGACTCAGAAGAAGCATCTTGCA